CTGATTGAGGAAGGGGACAGAAGTAATCTGGATTCAATGGAATAGTTTGATTCAAGCAGAATTATACAATCAAAGTTTACTTTTATAATTAAGTAGATCGCGTATATGATGAGCTTAATACTACACTGGTGCAAAAAGCAATACTCACACAAAAACTCGAAATTAATCACACCCAGATAAAGAAGGTATAAATCCACTGACCATTGTCTCATTGTCTCATTTTCTGGCCACTTACCTTCTTGCCCGATTCATTAACAATCCCATTATACTATTGATTTAACACTTTTCTACGGATGAGCAGTTTTACATTTTTGATTTAGATTATGTAATGAATACGTTGCAGAGCTTCTGCAACGAATGAAATTCCGTCACGCTAACAACGATCTAAAATTTGTTTGTTCTAGTAAGGAAACATAACCTTCCACCATTCAAATGGAAGCAGAGTTGTTGATTTTGACCCAGGATCTGTTTATATGTCGTGTTTTGGATATCAAGACTTCGATTTGCGCGGGAATTATTCAACGGGCGCTTAGAAAAGTTTTTCCATTGTCTTCTGGTTGTTAGTGCGACGTTAACATACGCCTGAGGCAAATTAATAGCAAGCTTACGCGCATTCGTAGAATTGTTAATTTATATGAATAGACGTCACTCTATCTACCGACATTATTATGCTTTGATAGTTTTCACATTATTTACATTCACCACGACAATCTAAATTCTAAAATTACTGATTAATACCTACAAAACTCTTTTTTTTTACAGTTGTATGGTAGAAAATTATTTAATTAATTTATTATTTTAATTATTAAAGACTTAAATTTATTTCATTCCACGTCAGTATTTATCTCATTATCTCCACGTGCTTTATTAGGTCCTTGCCATTCATTTTCCTTTTATTGCAATTGATTTTGTTTATAAAACAGATCTAAAAGGTAAAAACGCAATTGAGTAAGAATATTTGATCAATAGCATCGGATACTAAAAAAATTTACTGTAGTTTGACAGATTAAACTAATCAAGGAAAGGAGGAGGTGTTTACCATTAGTTGCTGATCTGTGAATAGTGAAGAATTAAACAACATAAAGTGAGTATATTAATTGTCTTATAACCTTATGCTAACATAAAATAAAAACTAGTTTGACCTTCCTACTGAAATTCATTTAAAGCATCACAGAACTAAATATATGTACTATTAAGGTTATGAAAGTTTATTAAGATATTGTTAGCTATTTATAAGTAAGACATGTAAAGTAATTTTTACATTTTCATGAAATTAAAAAACATGTTGATTATATTCACATCTGCCATTGTTTACTATCTAATATTAGACATGATCGACAGACATTTTAACCAATACAAACAAAAGCTACAGATAACGCAAACAACTTCAATGTTTAGACCGTCGTTACAGATAAAAAAAGGTCAAACTTTTGTGGAACTTAGTGAATGTTTGTTGACTAATTTATATATTGCTTAATACGAAATTAAAATAAACATAGTTATATATTGTTTACAAAATTCTTCTTTCAATAAATCGCTTGTACAGTATACAATATTTAAAAATAAGTATCTGTTGCTAATTTGGATGCTTACGGCAAACGCAGCGTAGGAGGCCCCCCACAAGGTGGAAGGACGACCTAGCCAAGATCGCAGGGACGCAGTGGACGTCCTACGGCTGATATGATGATGATGATGATGAAGTATCTGTTTGTAAAAGTATTGTGTTAAGGCAGTTAATGGCGTCAATTAGTTATCTACAAGAAAATGTGATTTATGTAAATAAATTTTATATAGAAACATGATAATTACATGGACTGAGACCCCTTCTTACCAGATTGAATACGACAACACTGACATGATATGCGTGACCAGGAGACATTTTCAAGGCATTTAAAAAGGCTAACTTAAATAATAAATTCCAAACACTCTTAAACTAAAACAAAGAATAGCAATAAATCGCAATAGGTAATGCAATTCCGAAGGAATATAATATTTCGACTCTTCGCTAAAAAAAATACCACTAAAGGACAACAAAGCAAGCCCGCAGAATGCCGAGAACTATGCTTTCAGGTGTTACTATGAATAATTATTATTTTGACAAACAATAAGCTTTTAGATTTATGCATCAATGCTTATTGAAGAAAAATAATGTTTATTTATTACTTTTTACTAAAAAAATTGGAAATATCCATAGTTATTAGTTCCTATTTCTTTTCATTCCTCCTGTTTTGTACATTTCAAGTAATTTGGTTCATTATCAGTTGTTATTTTCATTCAGATGGCTCATTAGAGGATCTTTAAACGTATCATTGTGGGATAATGATTAATATAGTATGCATAGCTTTAATCCAACTTTATACTAGTACTCTAATAGAAGTTACTACATTCCTTTAGAAACACTTATCAAAATATTGAAGCATCAGGAGAAAATATTAAAGTTCATCATGAAATAGATTCCAAAGGTAGACTATCTATTTAAGTTTACTTATGTAGACGTTAAATATAATTATATGTATAACAGCAATTACTAAACAAATTATTTTTGAGTCGATTTCTTTTGTTTATAAAAATATTTTTATATTTTCATATTTTTTCAAAATTAAATATAGGGATATGTGTGTATATGTATGTATAATGGATATAAGATTTTAATAAGCTAAAAGTAACAGTAAAATTAGTTTTAGTTATATTAGATAAATTGAAAAAGACACTAACAAAACAGATTGACAATGACATCAGTTTATGGCTGATATTTTCAAGTAAGAAGTTTACATCATGATGTCAATTTCCTTTCTTTTTCCTTTCATTATCCTTATGTTAATCTCCAGAGTACAAAACAGTTCTGCCATTCGTTGCCAATCTTGCATTGTCATGTCTAATGCCAGGACCGAGTAAGGGCGATACTTTGTTTTGATATATTACAAATTCTCAAGACCTCGTCATTACTAATTTTCAGTTCTATTCAATTTCAGCTGTGACTTTGTCAACCTTTCTCTCATTCACGTTAAATACGGGTTAACTAATATTATAAATACTTCTATATCATGCCATCCTCTACTAAATGTGACTGGCCCTTATACTACCGCGGACGAGATCGCTTACCCAAATGGCAGGATAGCTGCTGCATTTAGCCTCAATGATATTATATACAAAGATATGGCACTGGCGCACCAATATTGGTACGCTCAAATTACACCACTTGGTGTAATTCTATAGACTTATCTCTTTCCGTATCATACGTTCTATATCATTGGTCACCTTTATATGTTATATAACGTAAAGCGGATCAATTTGAACGGACGAAACAGTATGGACTTACGTCATCTATATTACATCATTGTTTAGTTAGCCCAACAATTCACATCCAATATTCCTTCTTTAAATAATAATTTAAAAAAATATTTCGAAGATATGTGAAGTCCGCCAATCCGCAGTGGGGCCGCGTGATGGACTGTGCCCTGATACCCTCTGTACAGAGAAGGCCCTTGCTCAGCAGTGGGACATGTATAGGCCTAATACTTTACTTACTTTCTGAAGAAGTACCTATAACGCTTTAAAAGATAAATAAATTTCAGTTTCCAGGGAATTGAGATTATACAATTAATTGTATAATCTCAATTCCCTGGAGCACCGATCAAGCCGTACTCCCGACATCCATTTATTATTACAGACATAGATAATAAGACATATATACTGATTACAGATAAGAGCAAAGTTTAAAACACGGAAGTATCGTATTATTTTTGAAAGCAACCTAGTTCGTAATGTCTTGATACACTTGTTTCGTCAAATTTATTTATGTTATTAAATTTCATTCCCAATTTAATGCTTCAATTTACTTTAACAGGCAGAACGAATTTAAACTTTATGAATTTTAAACTCACACTTTACAACATTAAAGCAATTCCATTTATGTTAAAATTTGAATTAATGCCATACTTTGAATTATAATAAATTTAAATTTCAAAGGTGGCTTATGAATTAATTCTTATAACAAATAGTTATATTATATCGAGTTTTAAGTCTATACTGTGTTTACCATGCCAAATTTTTCTTCTAAAATAATTAGCACTTTTAAAATGCGCAGCATTGCGTAACTAGAAAGAGACAAATAACAGCCATTTATGAATCAGCTTAGGAAAAGGCTTCTTTATGAATGGAATCGGAATTGTACCATTATATTTATTTCAAAGTAGCGGGATTGTAAATGCAACAAGGGTTAAACTTGTGGCAATGTCGATTCCGCAACGCGCATCGAATATGAATTGGCCAATAGCGAAGTAAATTGGACGATAAAGCCGCCTTAAACTACAATACAGCAACTATTTTTCATTTATCACATTTCGAGTACAATGTTTTGATTTATTTATTTCTCCAAGATCGTTTAACTCAAAAAATATTTGAAGTACTTATCAAATATTAGTATTTAGTATTCTTTAAGTCGATAAGTTTGAAGTTGATAACTTACACAGGAATTATAAATAATTGTAGTTATTAATAAAACTCATAATGCTTTCAAATGGCGAAAATCTCAGAGGAACTACAATAGATTTGTTTTTTTTTTTTATTAATTTCATCACATCTTGTATGTACATTAATATTACAGAAAAATCTAACTAAATAGGTACTAATTTCATCAAGCTTATGGGAAGCTATAAAAGTCTATGGACTAAGAGCAAAAACATTAATTTTACATTAAAAAAAACTGTTTCCTATTATATGTTAAATACGACTTTTTATTTTTTCGACGATATCTACTTACTAGATAACATTCCCGTTGATAGCGTGATTTTTTTCAGGTTCAAATCATGGCATTTTTACTAAGTAACACATTAAGAAAATATTTACCATCACACAGATTAAGAATTAATCGCCATTTTAATAAAGGCCAGCTCCCCATTGTCTATTCGGAGGAAGCATTAAGTGCTAAGGAAAACGGGAAACCAATAGTTGCCCTAGAGTCAACTATAATAACTCATGGGATGCCATACCCGCAAAATATGGAGACTGCGTGGGAAGTTGAAAACATAATACGTCAGCGGGTAAGTAGTAATTTAAATACATCGATACATAAACCCCTTTTTTATATATTTAAAGAATCTGGTCAAAGTAGAAACATTTAAATAAAAGTAGTTGCATTCTATTGTTGTTCTCGATTGTAGAACATAAACGCAGTTTAACCGAAATTCTCATGGACTAGGTAAATTTTAGGTAAATTAACACTCTTAATATAAAGCTTCTATAGGAGTGTTAAAACTCTTTTTTTTTTTTTTGAGTATAAAAATATCGAAGAAAATCCTCGAAGAATCAATGAATCAGATTTGCGAGCTGAAGTATTTTTTTTTCTTATGTTGGCTTTATTGTTCCTCGCACGAATAAAAAAATAAGCGTATCTTCCAGATTCTTATTAATGTAAATATGTATTAAATAAATTGAGTCTATCTTGTTTCTGGATTCAGCGGAGTTTTTATAGCTGACACTTTCGAACTAGTCTCCGGGTTGAATTCTATAAGCATATACCAATAAGAGCACAGTACAGCTAAAAATACAGAATATGTCTTGTTATGGTACATTACATTAAGAGTCGCTTGGTAGTCGTTTGAGTTAGAATGTTTTCAGCATCCTGACAGCATATACGTACGAATATGTACGCTGTTCTTTAATAAAACAGTACTTTAAAATTTGTAGAAAAAGTACGAAAATATTGTCGCTGTGCTGTGTGAATCGAACCCACGTCTTAGACCGGCCTGCATACAAATTTCAATGTTTAATCTTAAAGGCAGAGATTAGCTGTATAAAAATTTTAATTTCTAAAAAACAGTACTTTTTTCTACAACTCTATAACACGTGCGGTGGTAGGGCCACGCAGCCTCGGCTGTTGCACGAATGGGCTGGCCCGTCTGGGTGAGAATCACGACCTCACAGAAGACCAGCGTAAAGTGGAAGTATGACAAATACTTTCGCGTTTCGTCTGGTGAGTGAGGTAGCCGGAGCCCTATTTTCAAAAGGTCAACGCATCTGTAACCCTCGGGTGTAGCAGATGTCCATGGGCGACGGGATTTACTTAACATCAGGTGAACCGTCTGCTCGCTTGGCAACTTTTCACAAAAAAAAAACTCTATTTCAGGGTGGGACGCCCGCCACAATAGCTATCCTTAAGGGTCAATTAACCGTTGGCCTGACCGAGGAGCAACTTCAGTATCTGGCTAAGGCCGAGGGCGTAGTGAAGGCGTCTCGGAGGGACCTGGCGCCCATAATGGCGTCCGGTGTCGACGGAGCCACGACCGTAGCGGGATCAATTGTGACGGCCGAGTTGGCCGACATCGATGTATTCGTTACCGGAGGAATCGGTACGTTATTTCTATTCTAATTTTGGAACACGTTGAGTAATATACAGCGTGTCGTTACCACCGCGACAATAAATGAACACATATATAGAGGATAACTTTATAAAATTGTATTAAACATTTACATTCGTCAAACACCAATATTTACCGAGTTATTAAATTTTCCAAAACAAACAATTTTAGAACACCCTTAAGTATAAAACTGTAACGTAAAGTTCATTTGTAAAGGTCACAAAGCATATGAATGGGTTTCATGAATTTAAAACAGACAAAACATACTGTTAGAAGGAGAGGCTTGTAATGCGACGCTGTGGCACGAGTTGTATAGGATGTTTCAAATTTTTTTTTCTTTTTTACTTAATTAGTTTGTTTGAAAAATATTTTTTTTTAATTATGGATTTTGTTTAACTTTAATATTTTTTTATGATTATTGGCAAGTAGCTTTAGACGTGTGTTCATTTATTGTCGCGATGGTAACGACACGCTGTATACACCTTTCTTATAGATATACAGCCGCTCTTGTTAGCATTAGCTGGTCATGAATATCCTTTTTAATATAACTACATTTAATTATGAGTCTATTAAAAAATTACGTAAGTATACTGTGATTTGATCTGTTCGAACGCCTCGTCCGAGCATGTGCTGTAACAGCAGAAGCTGTTGTTACCTGACTATACCATAAGAAAAAGTCATTGAAGACATCTTATAAGACACAAAACACAAGCTCTTAGTCATCGAAGCAGTACTGCGGTTTTATGCATTTGTTATGATAAATTGACTATCACTTCTTACATACTATTTAAAACTTCCAAAATTAGCACTAAAAAGTATATTTTACTTAACTATTTTACAAAGGAACAAATGTACTTCCTCAACTCTTGTTAGAACAAAGTTATTAACAGTGGTATTTGGTTTATGAAAAGTAATGGAATTTGAAGAAATTGTATGCTAGGTGTACATTGCGTAACGGAAAACCATTAATCTGAGGTGGATTCAAACATGTCATATATGTTTACCACACCACTACTTTATCGCTTTGAATATTTTTTTTAGGGTTCCATACTCAATGGGTAAAATTGGACCCTATTACTAAGACTTCGCAATCTATCTTTTTGTCTGTCCGTCTGTCACCAGACTGTATCTTTTTTTTATGTGAAAAGGGGCTCTGGATAACTCACTCACCAGACGAAACGCGAAAGTATTTGTCATACTTCCACTTTACGCTGGTCTTCTGTGGGGTCGTGGTACTTACCCGGACGGGCCTGCCCATTCGTGCAACAGCCGAGGCTGCTGCGTGGCCCTACCACCGTGAACCATGATATAAGACAGTTAAAATTTTCACAGCTGATGTATTTCTGTTGCCGCTATAACAACAAATACTAAAAAACAGAATAAGAAAATATTTAAATGGAGCCACCGTACAACAGACATGATTTTTGCCGTTTATATAGATAATGGTACGGAGCCCTTCGTGCGCGAGTCAGACTCACACTTGGCCGGTTTTTTCAACGCATTTGGAATAGTCCGTATATGGCATGTATACCATAATATACATGCCAAAGTGTGGTAACAAGCCACGTAGTTTATATTGCAATATATGTCTGGCGGCAAGTTATTTCCTTAACAATATGTTCCCGCCTTTGTTGTCCAACGGACAGCTGCAGTGTACTACGGTCACATCGACCAGTGATGAAAATTCATATTGCACTTCAAGGAGAAACTTAATTAACATCGATTCGTTTTTGTTGCTGCTTAAATTAATTAGTCTATAAATTTTATATATTGTTTTACAATGTATATAATATTCAACCTATCTATCGTGTTAAGTGTAACGCTTACTGATATCCAACGATGGTTAAAAAATAAATGAACAATGATGATCTAAATTCCGAATAAATTAATATTTAGTAGCTCTTATTAATCGAAATTAAATTTTTGATTTTTGTTTTTAGTTTAAAAATAGGCAAAACTGAAAATTATTACGGAATGAAAAGAAATACTTCATTTCAATTTACTCTCAATAAGTCGTATTTATAAGCGCCTGATATAATTTATTTTGTTAGGTCCGCGTTTGATTATTTTTATGCAAATATATATTACGTCACACACATAATGGCATTAAGACATGGACGAAAAATATAAGGTATTTGGACGTCAACTTTATTTTTATCAGTGATTATAGATTAGTCGGCAGCTTTAAATGTAATAAATACAATTAAATCCCAGATGTTAAGTGCTTTAAAATGTTTAATATTTTGTTTTAGGACACGGTTTGGGTATGCCCCCATTTAAAAGATCGACCTATATAATTTTGTCTCTGTATTTGTTACGGTTTCGTACCCAAAGAGTAAAACGGGCCCCTATTACTAAGACTCGACTGTCTGTCTGTCTGTCCCCCTGTCATCAGGCTGTATCTCATGAACCGTGACAGTTACTCGTAGAGAGTTCAAATTTTCACAGATGATGATTGTATTCCTGTTGCCGCTATAACAACAAATACTAAAAATCAGAGTAAAAAAATATTTAAGTTCCCATACGACAGACATGATTTTTGGTAATGGTACAGAACCCTTCGTGCGCGAGTCCGACTCGCGCTTGGCCGGTTTTGGATGTCTTCATTTTCAGACTAAATAATGTAATGTAAAGCTTCATGGATCATAGTGCGTAGAAAGGCTGCAGGTTCTGTGTTTAAAAAAAATATTTACCCAAGAGAATAACTATTCCATTTTGTTTTATTTTTACTTATATTTTTTTTATTTCTTTAAGTGAATCATTTCATCTCATACTTAAGTAACGCCACAGGACAGTCTTACTGATGTGGGATAGTTTTTTATACAGTTGAAACACATGAAAATGAAATAAGAAAATATCAACTATTCAAATAAGATAAAATCAAGTTAAAATCACACCATAAATATAGAGGAAAGCTTAATAACTTGAGGATGTTGTTAGGACGTGATTCAGAATTAAATCGGCGCCGGTGTGGACCCTCATTTATCACGGATATTATATCCAGGTGCTCGGCTTACCGGCGTCTAACAATAAAATTATTCATTATCTCTGTAACAAGTGACTGTCGTCTATATAAATTTCTTGCTGGAGGCCTAAAGGTCCCTTTGTATGTAAGTGTTAATTTCCCATAAAATGTTCAAATTTAACTGGTACTGACTTGGGTAAAGTTTGCCTCCAGGATAAATATCGACCACAAGTTGTTTGACCTTGTTAGGGTACCCCGTGACTCCCACATAAAAAAACCCACGTTGCACCTGCGCTGTCGCTTTGCCGGGGACACGGGAACACGAAAACGCAATCTTCCGCGAACACCGGCGCGACTTTGGCCTTCTCAGGCCTCCTCTCCCCCGGTGCTTAGACACCCGATCCAGCCAAATGGTGCCGTGTTGGTGCTTTAATGAGCACGGCACCCCTCTCAAGCCCTCCGGGGGGCAGCAGTTAGACAAGTTGTTTGACCTCAATTAACCTTTGTGCATGATGCCTAATGCAGTCTTAATAAATTCATAAGAACTTTATTTAGAAAAAAACAGATTCTAACCAAAAACTTTTTCTACAAATTTCCAATTGAACTGTGTGTCGATGTAATCGGTCACTTTATTTTTTGATTTATGGCATTTGACTAACGCACCTCTAGTTAATTATTCCTAGTAAATTATTCCGGTTGTAAATTATTCTTTCATTGTCATAAAATTTTTGACCGGCATCTTTACTTGGGTGTTATATGGATTTAGTTTTTTTTATGTAAGAAGGTGGTGAGCGAGCTGGCGATATGCCTGATATTATGGGACGACCGCGCGCCACCCTTGGATATTTGAAACACTCATAGAGTTGCAGTGCAGATACGTTGCCACCTTTTAATAAAGTACCTAACTCAGCAGACAAAACGCTGAAGAAGCGGTGGTATTTCCCCGACTCTCCGACTCTTGTGTGGCCTTACCAATTAAAATTAACTTAATTTCTGTACCAAAATAAATTTCAAAGCTAATTGGTATAAATTCAATGTCTATGGAGGGGAACAGCTACAATATTGTTCAGATATAAACAGTGAATAGAGAGAGTAAACACAGAGTCGAATTATTCACATTGTTGAGCTGAATTCCAGTAACTAGTAAACATGGTAATTATTAATTATCCGCTGTTGCCTAACACTCACTAGCCACAGTACCAACACCAATTAAAAACCTTTCGACGGTTACTATAAACACAGAGATTGTTCTTACTTTTTTTACTCCTAGTAGACCGGCCCGTGGGAGATCGACCTTCATCGATGTGACAACTGTTATTGATTTATAATTATAAATATATATTGTTCCTGGCTATTTATACGCACCAACCTATTGTTTGTTAGATTGAGGTTTATATTTACTGTTCTCCTTAGTTCTGTTATTGGAAGTGATATTCTCTCCTAAGCCAGTATTAACCAACGAGAAAATAAGTTTTCTAGGCATAATGTTATTTTCCGAGATAAATCATTTGAAAACAGTTCACTAATTATACTATCTTATTTGTGTAGCCGTGAAATATAGATTAAAATATTAATTATATTTTCTGAAACGAATCTTTTTAAACCTCAGAAAGCTGAGAATGCTAATGCACTGTTTATAGATAAACGCAACTGGAAAATTAAAAACTAGAATGTCCTAACTGTACTGCAATGGCTTTGCTTGTGTTAATGTGCATTATACAGGGAGATTTTTTGAGAAGTGCCCTTTACACAGGAGGTTCAGACTCGGTAGCCTAATCATTTATTGAAATAAACAACAAAGTTTTTTTTTCCAAAAAAATGCCATTCTATTCCCTAAAAACCAGAACGTGTTGACAATGCGGTAGTCATTCATAAATACCGTTAAATTTTACCGTGCACGAACTTGTGTGCGTGTTAGTTATGAATGATCGCGCGTAAAATAAATGAGTTGCGTATAAATCACGCACTTTATGAGATAAGTTCAAATAAATGTAATTAATTACTTACGAGTGATTTTAAATATTTATCAATTTTTATATAACATTATTTATGTCTAGAATTTAATAAAAAAATGGATATACTTAGAAAAGCCAACCTGTATATTATAAATTAGTGAATAAAAAGAGACATATTTAATTGTTGTGTTTGTGTTATGAATTAGATATTCCATACACAAAAAAGTGTGTGTGTACTTATGTACACGCGTTAGAAGTTATACTTCTTTGGCGTAACAAGAGATTTTTTTTTATGCGAAAAGTTGTCAAACGAGCAGACGGTTCATCTGATGTTAAGTGAATACCGCTGCCCATGGAGATCTGCTACACCCGAGGGTTAGAGATGCGTTGACAACCTTTTGAAAATTGGGCTCCGGATACCTCACTTACCAGACCAAAGTATTTGTCATACTTCCACTTTACGCTGGTCTTCTGTGAGGTCGTGGTACTTATCCGGACGGGCCTGCCCATTCGTGCAACAGCCAAGGCTGCTGCGTGGCCTTACCACCGTAAATAATATATAATGGGCATTATGTGTTCATTTTATATAGGAGGTGTTCACCGCGATGGTGAAAAAACAATGGACGTATCAGCTGATCTGACCGAATTGGGACGCAGCCGTACCTTAGTTGTCTGCAGCGGGGTGAAGTCAATCCTAGATATTGGAAGAACGCTGGAATATCTGGTGATTATTATTGTTATTTTTGCGATGTAATGCTGAGTTGTGACCTTTTTGGTACATTGATTTCTAAATTGTAATTGTTATTTTTATTTGGTTTTTATTTTATATTTTGTTTGTTATGTTCGAAATAAATATTTCTTTCTTTCTTTCTATCTTGCTCGTAGTTAATAGGATCGCGATAACTCAATGCCCGAGCGTCCGCTTTAAATTTAATTTAAGAACAACCTATTCAAATCCCGGTTACAGCACGAGTTAAATTGCTGATTGCAATTTCAAATGCTGGCTTTTCACTAGCTCAGCGGCGAAGGAAAACATCGCGAGGAAACCTCCATATTTTCAGTAGTACCACCAACATTGTATTGATGCTTACTTATTTCTTGAGGCTATAAAGGGTTCGATACGGTAAAATCATAACTAAATGCAAAAACAGTCCGTAAACTTAGTTTAAATTAACAATTTATTTCATGTTACATCATGACGTTTTTTTGAAATATTCGAACATTTAATATGATAGCAAGCTAATATGACGCTGGTGGAAAATAAGTGGGTGACATTTGAATAATACCGGGCGGTTAACAAAGGCATGCATATTTCCACGAAACGCTCGATTCTCGGGCAAATTATTTCTATGCATAATATCACCGAGTTTTTATTTGGCTTCTTTATCCCAGTCCTTGCTAAAGAAACCGAATTGATAAAGAAACCGAAAATACAATAACATATTTTTCGACTAACCAATTGAATTTAACACTATATTCGTTTAAATTTGTTTATATTTTAATTTGTGTATAAAAATATTTAGGGTATCCTCTAAATATTTTTACCGCGCATTTTATTTGTTTTTAAAACCCTAACCTTTCGTAAACTACACCACACATCGCCGGACTGTTGAACCATTGACAAAATATATACACATTAAAATACGTGAAATAACTATAAGAGTTCTAACCTTGATCCTAATTTTTACCTTGATCCTAATATTTTAACTATTACTGAACTTGAATATTAACAATTATTATAACAACCAGCAGAACTATTGTTTATATCACCGTCCGGGACCGCAGCCGAAATCCAAGTGACCGCTGCTCCATGCGACCATTTGTCCCTTGGCTCGAGTAGATAACGTCATATCCGGTATACAGTGTTGCCAGCGCCAACATAACATGAAGTTTAAATTTAACTAATAAATGATTCCATCCGTAGGAAACTCACGGGGTATCAGTATGCGCTTTCGGCGATAGCGATGAGTTTCCCGCCTTCTACACTATGAGGTCCGGGTTGAAAGCGCCGCATCGAGTCGCGGACGCGTCGCACGCCGCCCGCATGCTCCACGCCGCGCGCCAACTGCGCCTGGCTTCAGGGATCGTCGTGGCCGTACCGGTGCCGGCTAAGAATGCTATGGATGGTAACTATCACATACCACTAAGCTAGTGAAGGGACAGCAGACCAAGCTGTTTCTTCTACGATAAGCCGTTGAAGCAGACTTCCAAATTCGAATTTCGGATGGTTTCGATTGAGACCCTCTAATCTATCTATACATCTAAAACGATAAATCTCATCGTTACGTATAAATCCCACACCGAATTCGATGGTCCGACGTTTGCGTACAACATGGTTTCATTGAGACACTCCAAAACATCATTACATACTGAAAGCGTTAGACGTAGCGTTTAGACTAAATATGACATTTTGTCGTTTTTCGAAGAAGATCTGTTACATGGAACATGAAAAATGTTGTCATAAATTACGTTGCTATATCATAATATCTTCAGAAGGTAACGCTATGGGATACAAGTTCAATTCAAACAACCGTAATGCGTAAGAAGTAAATTATTGGTATTCCTTAGAGCGTTATTTTTATAAAGGATGCATATATGACTTCTTTGAATTCCTCAAATTTTAAAGATTCAGAAATATCGATTTAGAAAATTTTTAAAGCTTGTACTTCAAACATTAACCCTCGAGAATGAATTTGTGACAATTTTTAATAAATTTTGCGACAGACGCGGTCCAAAGAGGTTACTTTTGATTTTCTTTCATATCAGCAATGTATCTATAAGAACGCTGTCTAGCCGTGATATTGCGGTAAGTATTCCACATGAATAAAAATATGACCTAAATTCTTTTTCAATATCTCTTAGAAATTTACTGCTTCATCTGAAATGTCATTTGTCTAGTATTCACTAGAGCATCAAAAGGAACGAATTTTCTGCCGACTCAGCTCGCGTGATCGCTTTTGTGACTTAATACAATGGTATTATTATATTTTTGGCTCTTTTTTAACAGAAAAGATTATAGAAGACGCGATAAAAAGCGTCATGGAAGAAGCAAAAACAAAAAACATTCAAGGGAAAAACATAACACCATTTATACTGAGTGCTGTGTCGAAGGCGACTAAAGGCACATCTCTAAATACAAGTATCCTTTTCAATCGTTTGTGTTACACTTTTATATTTTAAACTGTAAAGGTATCGTTTCATAACGACCAATTGCAATCAGCACTGAGCACAATTTATTTAAAATATTATAAATGTCTATGCGCGATAGGATTCAAGATAGCTTGCTAATATCTTTGTACCCTATGAAGGCCGTTATCGTCAAACTCTTATTGATATAAATAAAATTATAAGTGCCAGTCTTCTAAGAATGAAAGCTTTTTTAAGTTGTACTTCTTTTGGGGCGTTTGAAAAAAACATTTACAATGCGCCCGTACACATAAAGTGGCAAGAAGAAGTTGGTTGCAAAACGATCAATTTCACGGTATTAGCATGGAAACCAACAACAACTTTTTTACATTAAATATTGCATTTAAAGTCTTTCGCAGCAAAAATACCTTCTGGCACAGGGGATACTTAGTTATTTTTCTTTTGTTACGCTAAAAGGAGTATAACTTCTTACGTGCACTTCTTCATAGGTACGCACGTCTCTTTTTTCTTAATCTGTCTCCAAAACATGACATATAATTAATTTGTTATGTATTCAAGTGAATTTTGTTATTTGCCATGTATTTAAGCGACTAGACACGTTACGTTAAAAGCAAAATTTCGCCATGATCAAATTCCTCAACAACCGGCCAGACATCGCTCTAATAAAAAACAACGCACAAGTTGGCGCCGACATAGCCGTCGAATTTCAAAAACTGAAGAATGCTAGCAACGCCCGGAACTCCTTTAATATTGGTACCTCAAAGAGTTCGGGGAGGAGGCAGTTTCACACTGCATGCAATTTGCGACCTAAATACACGGGCCCTAATGTCGAAGAAGGGTCGTTTATTAAAGAGGAGAATTCAGGAAACCCAGTGCTCGTCATCGGCGGCGCGAACGTTGACAGAACGTTCAGAATTTCGGAAGATAACGTCAAGGTAAGTTTTAAATAAGAAAAGAAGTGTTCAAAAAAATTTTTATGTTAACTAATTGGTCCGTTATTCCTCGTCGTATACAACATGTGAAAAGATTAAAAATAAAAATTGTCGTGTTAAGTCTTAGCTATAGTTTGTCTGAGAAAATATTAATTTAATTTGCTGTGTAATCCACAATAATGGATAAACTTGAGTTCAAAAATTTTACATTTGTCATGAACATCTTACTAACTCTCCCATCTAAACATACCTTCGATAATACTTTTTAACATAAATATAAATTTTATCATAAATGTATAAATTATTGTGTTATGATAATTCCGTTCATACGTTTAGACAATTATATATCAAATCAAATCAAATATGTTTATTCAACATAGAGAGTAGCTTTTTGATAGTCAAAATACTACCACCGATTTGGAAAGGAGGGCCACTGTACTGCGAAGAACCGGCGAAAGAAACTCAGCGGGCATTATTTTTTCCTTTTTTCATCTTCGGATGTTGAAATAATAGATGGAATGTTTACCCAATTTAAAGTAAATTGATTCAACACTCATTTGTATTGTTACAATTGATTTACAAGATATCCAACGCCAATTAAAGTCAACGAAAAAATTACATATTTCTCTTTACGGCAAACTAAAACTCCAACACGCACATAACCGTCATCAAGTATTTATTAATTGGCGTAACACGATTCAAAGATATTATGCTTAACAAATCTGATAAGATTAAATATTTGTACCTTTGTAAATAATTTAAGACCTATATATAGATGCACAATAAATTATTTTCTTTACCGAAAGGTTTTCAAGGAAAGGCGAGCCATTTTTTATTTAAACTTTTTTAGGAATTTTTTTGCGTTTAATTTATTATTTCCGTGACAGTTTAGCGTTCGTTAGGTAGGAATAATTAAATGTAATTAAATACATTTTTATTTTCCATGTGTAGTAGTCTCGAAAACCCAAGAAATCATTCATCAACCATAGGTCAAATTTAACTTCTCAATCAAAAGCTATTTACTAAGAATTACTACGTAATATTGTAAATAAGTGAATGTTCAGCGGCTAGCAGATCCGGGCGTCTTATGGGATGTGATTTAGGTGGCTTGAATACTAAGACAGCGGATGCTTCGTTGACAAATATTAAAGACTTACGCTTTCTTTGAAGGCAGCAGTTCTGGCAATTAACTCTCCAGTCTTCATCCACTTTCCAATACTACACGAATGAGCAAGCTCTCCCAGGGAAGTCTCAGGGCCGAACAGAGTCTATTCTTTCCAAGCCGATTTAAGTAATATTTTCAAGACTAATAGTTTGACCCCCCGAGACAATGCTCAGGTCATGAGGTACAAGTCAGCAATGCCCGCACCTGCTTACGTATCTAACAGAATATAAAAGCCTGTCTGACACAACGTGTCGCGTGTCGTTTAATGGCTGGCAACGCAAATCCATGGGCAGTGGTAATAACTGAAGATCATGTGAACCACTTGCTCGCTTACTAACTTATCCCATTAAAAAAAACAATCGGCTGTTTATGAGGCCCAAGTCCCACGTTTAAGTGCCAAGACTAGTAATTGACAGGCCTACTTTATAATTTTTAAATTTGAAAACGAATGTCACAAGACTTTTCCCTAACTATAGCTCCACTGATACGTCAGAGAATTGGCCAATAAGTAATATAAATAAGTTATCAGCATTTTGCGAGTAAGATAGCTTGTAACCTGTAGTTCACACTGAAGATCCCACGTGACTAAGTCTTAATCTGATGATAATAAATGTTGTGATTTTATGATAGCAATAGTTTGTAAAAAAAACTAAGGTTTGGTAGGAATATTGTTTACTCCTGCCCAAGCCTAAATGATGTACAGAGCCTACAATGTAAGAGCTTAAACATATTTTGGACAAGTTTATCATAGAAGGGTTAATGAAACTGTTATGGATGGTTCACAGGTAGTTATTTTTTCAAACTGTTTTAATATTAATTATTCAACAATCGAGAGGAGACAACTTCCATCCGATCCCGGAAAAAATATGAGCTGTGATATTTAATCAGAGAAATTGTTTTCTTGGTTAGGTTACCGATAAATGACTTCACTTCTATAGAATTAAAAAAAAATGTTGTAAACATATTTTATTTCAGCTCAATACCGATACTTCGACAAATAATAGCAGTGGCCCTGTTATTGTGTTCAAAATTAAGAATTTTAATAGGAATATTTTGTTCTGTGTATAGTTAAAAATAACCAAGGACAGATCACGAGATAACCGCTTTAACCAGTGCCCCTTATATTATGTAGTCGGAAATAATTTTAAGTTTCCATGCTACGACAAATTCAAAAAAATTAAAAGTTCTGTCAAATAAAGGTGTAGGAGTAACAGAAAGTAGGAGAATCGTAGTAAAATAAAAAAGGAAACATTTAACAAACTCTTTATTTGATGCATTTATTATGATAATGTTAGCTCTCAGTCGCCTAGTGCGTACCTCCGGAAAGTTGCATCACCCTCCCTACGAGTACTGAATACATTTATGAAACACTCATTACATGTAAATTTACATTGAACACATATAATAAAATTTACAGCGAAAAATTAAAATTACAAGCTCTAATATCAGTAAAAATTATGTAAATTTTCCTGTATTACAAGATTTTCTGTTTTGTTCTCAAACATTGTTGAGTGACCAATAAACCTAGATTTACTGTATACAACGTTTCGGTTTTCATTTGTGCCCTATTTAAAATAAAATCTTTAGCATCATGACATTGTTCTCATAGCGGATTTCTTACAAAGATTTACATTATATTGTTATACAAAACCTGGAAATGTTATAATTTCGTAGTTTAAAGATGCCACGAAAGAAATAATTACCTACTGATAAATGGAAAACATCTACATCGGTTATCGGAACTTATCGTTTTTGTCGAGAAGCACATCAGAGACGAGTTTCATAACATTTTACAAAACTGTATTGTTTACCAATAAATTTATTTTAAATTAAAATTAGTTCTAAAGTGTTTCAAGCCAAGGCACATGTCATTTAATCTTTTATATTTTTTTAATTTTGGAAGAATTGCGGAAACTAGATTGGATCCTAGCTACAAATTATCCAACTTTCCGAACTAAGGTACAAAATTTTATAAGATTGGTACATTCATGTGACAACAATATTAAAAAACTATTCTTCTGCGTAATTTCAAATATTATTTTACCTACACTAAGCGAACATAGTAATTAATTTATACTGAATATTACATTATGTCTAAAACGTACATCAATAGGTATAAATTTGTAGATAGGTACATATATGTATTGTTGAGATTAACGTAAGTACGTACGTACTTAGCTTATACGTTAGGAAAAGAATAACAATCATATAATCAACTGCCGATTTGGTTCAAATTTTTTATTATTTTTATTATCATAGCTCAATGCCAGTTATTGTTTTTCACTGCATCGCTCTTTTTCAGGCAGGACAACCTTATGTTACATACTTTACACCCAGATCTTAAATATACAATGTGTACGGTAAATACATATACACCAATTGAAGGACGATGACCACTTTTGTTTGGAAGCATGCCCTAACCATGTCCAAGTACTAGATATTTAACATGTTAAGACCTTAAGATAGATCTAAAATTTTTTAAATATTATAAAGTCTGACATAATTTGTTAGTTTATTTTGTTAAGCTTTTGAATTAAATCAAACGCATACACGCATAGATAGATTCAAACAATAGAATAAGTAAAAATTGACACATGCGTGACACTTAATTTTATTCAAATATAATATTTTTTTATATTCAATTATATACTGCAACGATAACTTATTCTAAAACATAACCCAAACCAAGTTTCAATAAAAAGGGATTTATGAATTCTATGGACATTTTAGGGCAGATATGGTCACCGTCGTTTGTATAAATATTACAATAAATATATAATTTCAAAGAGAACTCTACAAGACATTTAAAAGGTTTCAAACCTTATTGGACACAGCCATTAAGTATTAAACGTCCCATTTAGCACGACATAAATTTTGATATCACTTTAGAGCAGTAATTTTCAAAGCAAATTATGCTACGAGCAAATTAAAATGTTAACTTCGTAGAGCAAAAGAAACAATAGGTTATGAAATTAATTAAATTGTACACGGTTTTTCAATTATATTATTACCAAAGCCTTCCATATAAAGTCGGTTAAAGTTTATATCGGGTAAGTAACATAACCAAAGGGCAAATTCGTACGACTACAAATCTCTGTTAAACAAATGTAAATTTATATATGCGCTCGTTTTTCCGAATTGTATGCACCATTATAGCTGTTAAAAATTACTGATAATATACTCGCACCGAAAAGGTATAATAAATAAAGAAAAGGGTATGAACTAAAGAAAAATCTACGAAATACAATAAACATAATACAATACTGCTTAAGGCGTTATCTTTCACGTTTTTCACAAAGTTTTACACTTTTTAACAAAGTAGATAAATACCATACTAAAAACTCTCCTAGCAGTGGATAGAGATTTTTTTAAAACGTAGCTATTCCTTTTACACTGTAACAAGCATATAATCGTAGGCACTACGTCATTTAAGCTCATATCAGTACTATTTTCTGTAAATGCACAGTTAACGCCATTCTACACGTGTACATACATACAAATTACAGCTATAGTTATTTACATCTACTTATTAGGGGAAAGGGGATCAGTGAAGATCGTGACTACAACCTAATGTAATTGAAAACATCATTACTCCTATACTTTATCAATTATTAATTAAAAAAAGTGCTGAGTTGCATGCTATGCGCATTAAAAGAGTTAATAAGTACATATAACCAAATCCGACAAACTGCACTGACCCCATAACTGACCTTAAAATTAGAGATTATTTCTTAAATATTACATTATCTATAATTATAGGTCTTCTAAATTACTCCGTCTGTACGTCAATTGTATGTCGCTAGGGTAACTCGTTGGTGTTTCTGTTTATCATTAACTCGGTGTTTATGGGAGATTTAATGTATTCGGTTGTATTAGTCTAAATATTACCACCTTTGGTCTTTACCTACTTGTGGTCTTTATAATTTTTCGTAAATAGAATGTCCCTATTAAAGTGCCTACTAATGTGGAAATGTTTTGAAAAAAGATAGATATCAAGGTTTTCGAACGCATATAAACAACTATTTATTTTTATTTACCATTTCTTTGGTAGTAAGCCAACTGCTAAAAAAGTTTTGTGGCTTTGTTGTTGCTTTTTCGTCGTACTTTACCAGTTCTTTGCAATATAATTCGGTAATATTGGTCACATTTGTAATACGAAAAGAATATGATGAAATAGTAATAAGAGAAACAAAAATAGGCATAAAAAACATAATTCAAGTCTGTAAATCAAATAATATTGAAATAAAAATTTTGTATTCCTCAGCTAGGTATGTACACATATCTATGTATATTAACAGTAAAAGCTATAGACTATAATTGCTACCGGTAAGCCAGTCTTAAATCTAAACAATACCGCACAAAAGGAAAAACCTAATTCATGCTCTCAGGGAGCAGTATACCAATGGGGACATTCAGCTTACACGTAGGCGAAATAATTATATTTCAATGCATAATTTGCTTTTATTAAGCTCATAAATCGCAAATCGTGTAGCCGCAAATTGGGAAATCTGATTTTAAAATAAACTTTAATAGTCCCAATTTATCTATACTCTTTTACCTGCCAAGCATAGGAACTAAACACAAGCTTTGCTCGTGGGAACGCATTGACTCCTGCTAAACTAACAATTGTCTATCGTCTATATACGTAAATACGTCACTGTTTCGAATGCACATCTAACGTTATCACTGATATATGCTTTTAATGTAAGTCTCGATTAATTCGTCACATTGATTTTTCTACGTTCAACCCTTAAACACGTCCAAGTTATCTTACTGGAAGGTCTTCACTTGATACTAGGGTTATTTCCACGAGGCCGTCAGACGGCCAACGGGCTTACAATTCGAATTCGGAGCGTGTGTGGCGGCGATGGTCGAGGCGGACACGGGCGCCCATGCGGCGGACGCACACAGGGGCGCCGCGAGCCATCGGCGGGTCCACCTCGAACCCGGCTGCGGGGAATGAGCGCCACCGCCGCCCAAACAGGCGCTCCAAGTAACATCTTAGTCAGATCCTGGTCGCCGCGCTGTCCGCCGCGAGGGGTCGGTAGTCGCCGCGCGCAAGCTCCCGCATCTCGCAGTTGTTGTTGCCGTTTATGGTCTTAAGGCCGAGGGGCTCGTCGTGCACGCTTCGACGCGAGCACGGCTCCGAGGCCCTGCCCAGCAGCGCCTCCCTCTCCCCCGCCCTTTCCGGACTTCCCCCGTGTGTCCGGACGCCGCCGTTTGCATTGACAGCATTCACAACGACGGTCTGAGACAGCGGGCCCCCGTGCATGGGGCTTCCGTCGAGCAGCTCCCCGGCACCTAACTCGCTTCTTAGTATTCTGATTTTCTGAATCATCTCCTTTATTTCGTATCTTAGTATACCAAGGAAGCACAATTTCAAAAACGCTATTACACAGTACCCGAGAACGAAGAGTGCGTCCGCCGTACGACGCAGCCAAGAGAGCAACCTCTCGGCACACGCTGCCGTATGCGGCGCGCAATGAACCGGTGTGAATGGCGCTGATGACGTGGCTGATATCACTGCGAGTGATCCAGGAGTGACGGCTGGCGTGTGCGCCGGTATCCGACAGCAACTTGGTGGTAGTGCTGAGCGATTGAAAGCGGCAAAATCTGCTGGACCGGTAACACCGCAGCAGCGCTGCTCGCGTTGCAGTCGGTCCCACGCCTCGGAGAAATTGACGTCTGAATCGTACTCCTTCGCGAGGCGTATGCGCAACTGGGGCCGGAGCTCTCTGCACACGCGCTCGAAGCGGAACGCCCAATAGACACCGATCGCTGCGTCCCCGACCAGCAGAGCCAGCAGGGCGAGCCAGTACGCGTTGAGCATGCGCTCGGACAGGCGGAGTGCGGCAAGGCAGCCGAGTAGCTGCAGCAGGCCGGCCTGAGCTGGCAACGCCGCGTAACCGTAGAGGAAGCCCGGCTGTGCGGCGCCGAGGCCGGGGACGAGAGCGCGCCGGTAGTCGGCGAGCGCACGCCCCGCCGCCGCGCAGAACGCGAGCGCGCCCAGTAGCAGTGCCCCGTTGCACGCGTAGATCCAGATGCGGTAATAGCGCATTGCGCGGTGCGCGGCGGGGTAGTGCGCGGGGCGCGCGGGCGGCGGCAGCGTCATGGTTGCGGGCGCCGCATCTTGGCGCCGCCCGCGCCCGCGCCGCCGCCACGCGCCGCGCCCCACGCCTCTGCAACACCACATGCGCTCTAAAGCACGAAAAGCACAACTGTCTCTGAAGAAAGAACTACGGTACACTGCGCAGCTCGAATTCAATACGACATATAATAAGATTATTTTTCAGTAGCATTTTTTTTATTTATAAATTAAAACGAGTCAAGTTAGACCAAACACTCTGATTTTATAAAATTGATAACGCTCATGAAAATCTACGTTGACATGAAAACAGCATTAGAGGAATCTGCTCCGCGTACAAGACATCATTCCAGATGACCCTCGCTGCCGCCGCCCACGACCAAAGCATAAATCAGTAACCTCATATTAACAGGCCAGAAATTCGATCTTGGATGAAATGAACTTGGATTTTATAAGTTTTGGCTCGGTTCATTCATACATTGCTTTCAATTGAGTAAAACTGATTCGCCTTACAATTTCTTTTACTGTTTGCAGATGTTTGAGGCTAATTCGCAAGATTGTTTCAACAAACTATGGTTCATCTTCATAACCCAGAAACAGAAGTGAACTGAAGTCTCGGTAAATTACTATAGCCGAGAATAATAACAATGATCTAACTTCTGAATTATAACTGGAAATCCCTGACGAACCCTCTCCAATGATACCGTTAATTTTGCTTGCTAGCAAAGTGATGGGATTAGTATTGGGATGCTATCATTGTGGACCTTGCAAAACGAGCAAAAAATAAACAATTCGATACTTAAATGCATCCTTCAAAGCACTCTGCTTGAATGATTAGTCTAAAACCAAGAATATTTGTGATTCTTGTTCCACTTTGGCACCTTCAGACTTCCATCCGTTTTCAAATCTAAAAGGTCAAGACTGCAGTAGATCAATTGAGTAATCATTTTTTAAGATCGGATTATTTAACAAGGATTCCATATCTTAGAAAAGTATGTGAATCCATGTAAAAAGCAAGATTGTGATAATGTGAAAAATATTTCATTCCATTTCCTCAATTAGACTGCGATCTTACGAGTATCTTCTTGGATTGAATATGTGTATTTTATTTTTAACGTAACGTTGTGTTATAAACAAGTAGTAATTGCTCTTTAAATGTATTACAACTGAATTTCCCAACTTACAATCCGCCGCCCGTGCCGTCTGCGCGAAACCTGGCTAGTCACAGGAGGGGACGCGCGATTCCGATCAGAGCGCCTACCACACCGGTGCGAGGCCTGCAACAAATTGATTTTAATAGAACCTTATGAGTGAGTGGCTTGGGCTACCAACTCCTAAGAATATTTTCCCTCAAACTAACGCTGATTCACTGTTAGTAATAAAAAAAAATTGCACAATTCTTTGGTCAATAAATATGGAATAGTAGACCCGTGCATAATATTCACCCAATGATTATGTAATAACGTGTTAATAAGTGTTTATCAATGAAAGGTATCTTATTTTAAAGAATAACGGTTTTCAGTCTACTTTGCTATGTTTCATTTAAATTTCGAGTAAACGTAAACGAGTTTTTTTATTAAGAAAACCTTCATTCTTCTTGCCTATTTTTCGTCAACAGCAACGAACATAAGCTTTGAAATGGTATTTTAATCATTAAATGTGATAAAGAATTGTGGTTAAGTCATATAAAAACATCTTTAACAAATTATTTATCGAGATTTTCATATTTTCATAATAACTTTTATAGTAAAAATAGGTATATGTATTAATTTACTTTAAATTATTTTAGTTACTCTATTCACCCATTTAGTTTCTTCTATTATTGTAGAATATAAAATGCTATTTGAATGCCATATGAATTTATTACCATCTAATTAAATTACATAAGGTCCATTGATATTATACCGTAAACACATTATATATCTTTTTATATATAATTCTTCTGTACGTATGTATGTCACTGAGCTGCTCCTAAACGGCTTGACCGATTTTAATGAAATTTTTATGTGTCTTCAGGTGGATTCGAGAATGGTTTAGATTCACAAACTTAGTCAAAAAGTTTTAAGACGTGTGGACAGGACAAATTCTGTAAGGTGCGCTAGTATTTTATAAGTATTTGGCAAGCGAGCTGGCTGTTCACCTCATGTAAAGCTGTTACCGCGGCCCGTGGCCCGAAACGCGAATCATTTAGAATGTTAAACTTCTTGATAAGGTTAAAAATGAAGAAAGAACCTACTTTGATGTATATCCTTTCCTCGTACGCTCTAGTGCTGTCCCGGAATAAAATTATAGGCGAAAAAAATAATTATAACAATCTAATTACATGTCTCATACTGATTTATCAGCTCTATTTTATATTAATTAAAAAGGAAAAATTGTTCAGATTGGAGTGCCGTATTGATAATTTTGATTCGTTAAACTAATGAAGACCCTTGTAACAAGCACAACACTTTTTGTAGTAGTTTTATAAAGTTCAGTCTCACACAATGAACCTAAGGTTGCTAGATCGCCAATCGACAAGCTCTCTATAAATAACAAGACAATGCGCTACGAAGCGGTTGCGAAACTATAGTGAGCTTGACATTCAAGCGAATAAAGTTTACACAACACAAGCTGTTCAGGCATAGTTCGAAGCTAATAGGTCGTAAAATGTCACTCAACTACGCCTACGAGATTATTTCTACTATTTTTAATAATAAATACCACTTACGCATTACCTCGTTTTCGATTTTCTACTAAACGCTACAGATTTACAAGGTAAATTTTAGCATACTATCTTCACTTTTTGGGAACATGTTCCATCAGTGATTTCACGAAAAAGTCCCTTATCTTGCTCTCGCGCTTTAAATATTTCGTTCAGCTATTTGTTTTTATTGATTTTGACATTCTTTTATGTGTGCCCGTGGCTACATACATATTTACCAGTTACCGAATTTCAGAAACGTAACATTATCATATTTTTTACATTCTAACACATTATCCTGCCTGTGATGACCGAGTTATAATGAAATACTAACAAAAATAAACACGTTTCATTTTATAAAATGTATATAACGAAAGCGTGCGTATCATTGTTAAGTTAGTTCCTCGAATTGGCCTGTGGGAAGCATAAGCTGGAAGAAATTATCGCGTACGGAAAAAGCGTTATGCCAGTTATGAAAGTTTAGCAACATCGCATCGGGTAGGCCACGCGCCGTGCAACGCTGGTATGAATGCGGGTGGCTCAAGGTCGTGCTTTCTGGCAGTCTGTTTGGAAGGCTTATATTTAGCAGTTGGCTTTGAACAATCTAAAATGATATATATTTATACAAAACTTTTAAACTTCAGTCAACAACTAACTTATTACCAACTAACATATTACTTTATTACTTAAACATTTCGAGTATCCAAAGAATATTGGGATATTATATGCAGTAATATTGGGTCAATCCATTTTAGATGAAAATGTTTATTTTTTTTAGAATTTTACAAGACTAAACAAAACCTTTGATTTTAACATAATATTGAAGACTTAATTTCGCGACAATTTCACATGTCAGTAGTATTACTTATATACATGATACATACTGTGTTATGTATATAAGTGTGTAGCATATATATAAAATATTTTTCCAAATTTAAAATAACTAACTATTTACATAAATACACTTCTTTTGCCTCAACGTACACTTCGATTAAAAAAAGCGAAACTATAAATCTTCACTAATCGAAAATCAATCCTGGACGCTGTTTAATGCGAACTAAGGTGTGTTGTATTGCCACTAACGGACGCCCTGGTGCCGCCATTGAATTCACTAGTAAACCAAACAAACACATATTTGCTTCATAAAAATTTACGATAATACTGCTAATGTGTCTCACATCTCTAATATTAAAGGTATTTTCATTTTAAAACCTCAAAAAACTACAAATTCTCTCGTTTATATCTATGAAAATCAAAGTTTACTCCATAACTAACAAGTATAATATGTTAAAAATGAATAAAAATAAAATTTGACTAGCTGACAACTTAGAGGATTTTTTATGTGAGAAGGTGGCAATCGAGCTAGCGGTTCACCTGATGTTAAGTGATAACCACCGCCCATTGACAATTGCAAAACCCGCAGGGTTGTAGATGCGTTGCCACCTTTGATAAAGTGGGCCCCGGCTACCTCACTCACCAGACGAAACCCAGAATTATAACATTTCCACTTAACGGCGGTTTTCTGTGAAGTCGTGGTACGTCGACCTAGCCATTCGTATAACAGCGAAGACTGTTGCGTGGCCCTACCACCTAAAAAGCCGTAAAAATAAATAAATTACTAAATAGGTGTAATAAATTACTTCATAAATAAGACCAATTGTTGCACTGCCATGTTTTTTAACTCTAATGTAGATTTTGCTTGCGTTCTGAAGAGTTCTCGTAACAGACAACCTGAGGTGATTACTGGCAACGGGCTGTAATGGACATGCACATGCGGGACTCTACTTATATCATCCCAAGTAACGTGTGGACATTTCCGTAAGATGTAAGGTCACAAATATGACATATTTTATTTGCTTATTGTTAAACCTCAGGAAAGAAACCATAGTCATTTGCACACTTGATCCGAATAAAAGAGGTAAACTCCCGACAAACTATTGCTATATTAGTCTCCTCAGCTTCTGGGAACACTATACGAGCATCTCAACAAAGAGTAATTCACATTCTTGCCCCGAACAATTTCACTTTGTCACAGACTATATCCTAAAGGGCCTTAACCAACGTCGCCCGATATGCACGGGTGCGCTCTTTTTCGATGTCGCAAAGGCATTCGACAAAGTCTGGCACAGCAGCTGACTTTACTAGCTGCTCGCACTCAATATGCCAGACCTACACAGCTATTGCAGACTCCTGACGTTACGTGATCATTTTAGAGAATAACAAAACAGTTCTTCTAGTGAGCCGAAAATCAGTCTTCTGTTCGTGAACGCTGAAAATTACAAATTCAACCCTAATGCGCTCTTTCGTCAATTTCATCCGCGTATCGACCCGGTCGACAAAGGGACTACACGGACTTGTACACAAAAAACAAATATTTCTGTGTTAAATGTATAGGAAACTAAAATGAACGTAGCGACCTCACAGAGTTCAGCTAAAGCACACCTCTTTGGAAAAGAATTTTATTCATCATACTCAAACATTAGGACACTCAAAGGATATATTGTGGACAAGGATTTGTGTAAATGATTTGCTCTGCACTTGTAAGTCTTCTGGCTGCTGCTGATTTCATTTTTATGTGAAAAGTTCTCGAGCGAGCATGCAGTCCAGCTGATGTTAAGTGAATAAGACCACCCATAAATATCTACAACTCCCGATGGCTTGCAGATTCGTTTACAACCTCTAAATTAGTGGACCCGATTATCTTACTCACTTAAAACAGCCTATATTGAAAAAAATAAATTTTACTTTGGATAAGTAGTGGGTTTTGCAGATGGTTTTGTTTGTATTATTGGCCAGGCTTATCCAAGTACGTTGGCTTCAAGAAAGATGGCGTAAATTAGAAGTATTAAACTATTGCGTATTATCTGGTGAGTGAAGAAACCGGAGCCCAATCTTTTAGTCTGGATACAAGAAGGTGGAATTTATTAGTGAAAAATGATTTTCTAACCGCAACCTTAATGAAATACTTAATAACAATAATTTATCGCCAAAGTGACAACTTAGTAATTTCCAAATTTATCTTAAAGACAAACATTGTAGTAATCTTTTAGAACAACTGGATAGTCGCCAAAGATTTTATACACGCAACGGCCTTGTTTCCTTTCATTTATTTGATTCCCCTTTCATTAACTTGCTGTTATATTATCGGTTCTAAAAAGCATGTAAGAAAATTCATATCTAATGCAAAAAGTTTATTAATCAAAAGAAATGTAAGTATATTCTACTTTTATTTTTTCCGAATACCACTATCAACTTAATATAACTTTTTGTTTTATCGAGCTAAGAAGGTAGAGATATAAATACTTTTTCCAAACCATCGTATTTTTATAATACTGGTATAATAACTTATTTTCACTTTTAGATCACTAAAAAAACACCACTCTAACGATTTAATTTGTGAAACCGATTGGACAGCACTATCGCGTATACTTCTTGTTGACAGCCGAAGAAGACGACCATGAAATGATTCGTGCAGCTTCATTTATACCCCTTACAATGACACTTCTTTTAGTGTTGCCAACACATTAACATGCACTAGTATATATTTTTTTTTTATTAGTTTAACGGCCCTGGAATCAAGTCCTTTAGGCACTAGTACAAAGCTCAGTGTACCAGACTACGCCGAGTTTTTTTTTTTTTTTTTTTTTTTTTTTTTTTTTATTTTTTTTTTTTTTTTTTTTTCCGTGACACTAGCTTATAACTTATTTGCGTAATGCGATGTCTTGTGACAAGTAGAAATACTTCCATTTCAAATTTTACAAATATAAATTTCCCCTCGCGTTTTTACAAGCTATACTAAAACATGGCAGTTAAATAGAATAATGGACCTTTCGCACTAACATTATCACGCAATGACTTTTTTTGGATTTTAAATGCCGCCTAACGCAAATAATAATTCGGTGTGCTTCAAATAGCATTTGTGGACAGAAGCCTCTTCCAAGGCAACTGTGATGTTACATACCCTGTTGTTCGCCAACATTTTAATTTGATTAACTTTCAGCAAATTTGAGAGATGAAAAAAAAATGTTTTAGAGCCAAGAGAGAAAAAAAAAAAAAAAAAAAAAAAAAAAAAAAAAAAAAAAAAAAAAAAAAAAAAGAAAAAAAAACTCATTTCGAATTTTAAAGAAATACTTGAATAAAGATTGTTGATTGATTGATTGATTGATTGACGATATTATTACAGGTGATGAACCCTGTTTTGTATGTCCATTTTAATACGAATCAATAAGCACAAGTTATCGATTTCGCCATTTCGAAATAAACCAACGTCCACCAAAGCGCGAAATCTATCGCAAAACGAATAACATTAATAATATGTTTTATTGTAGTCATAACAAAATCCATATATCAACAGAAAAAAAAAAAAAAAAAAAAAAAAAAAAACTACAGTAAAATACCTAACAAATAATAAAATTGCCTCCTGTACATTTAATTTTACATGTAAAGGTATTAATAATTTTACAGAGAAGAAATTACGCGGCTTATGTATATAGATTTACATATA